TTTTTCAAATATAGGCATGAAGCTATAAAAAGACACTCATTTAAAATTACAGCATAAAAAGGCTGGAGAGATTCCAGACTGAGTAAACATTTGATAAGAAAGGGTAGAAGTCTGCCTAGTCTTCAGCAAACTCCAATTTCCTCTGAGACATTGGCAGAGATGCTCACTCTTGGAGTGGATTTTCCTATCTTCTACAGTGCTATCATTTGTGCAAAAGGTAAAATTGGAGTTAATTAATATGCTCTAGAAGACTAGTGCTTGCACATAAGTTCAGATGGAATCATATTACTTTAAATGAACCACACAGTTGTTCAAACAAGTAATAACTGATGATTATATGGGGAAACATACAGAAAACTAGAATCTACATGAGTGAAAATAGCTTTTTTCTCCTTAATCCTCAAATTTGTCAACAACAGATGACATTACTTATGTCTTTAAGTAACAGCAGGGAACATTCACTGATGGGTTGGTTGGAAAGATGGATCACTGGTTAAGAGCATTTGGTACTCTTCTGGAGAACCCAAGTTCAATTCCTAGCACTCAGGTGGCTCATAACTCTAGCTCCAGGGGGTGTAATACTCTCTTCTGGCCTCTGAGGGCACCTTCATGAATGCATGAACATACACATACACACTTATCCACATAAATAAAAATAAACCTTAAAACAGCATTCAATGAAGGCATCCTCTATGCTGGAAAGGTTTTAGGAGTTGGAGATGAGAAGATCCGTTAAGAATGCCGAATTCCTTCAAGTTGCTTGCGGTGTCCTCTTTGGGGAAGGTAAACAGTTTCATTCAGGGATGTATGAGAGCTGGGAGGTTTGAGAGGCTCAGAGAGAAGAGGTTTGCGAACTTGGTTGTTACTGCCTGGATGAGCTTTATCACTGCAGCTTGTCCATCAGAGTGAAAACCATAGAAGGCTGTGGGAAAGTGAGTGGGCAGCCCTGCTGGAAGGACCGTGCCAAGCACAAACAAGGAAGAGAGGTAATTTTATCAATGATTTTCAAAAATCTTTTACAAATAAAAATGTACTCTGTGAGTCCTTTAAAGAAATAAAAGGTAGATGTTTCAGTAGCCCAGGCAAAGGCTTAATTCCAGAATGTGCTCAAACTATGTAAAACCTTAGGAACGCATTGTTCTTGCAGCTTCTCATCTTGGAAACATAAACAGCTGCTGTTTGCTGTCTCTGCAGTATTCATAATAGAGTGATATGATCTCTACACCTAAAGTAAGACTGTTCCTGGTGTAGGTCAGCCCCTCCTCTCCCTCCCCCTCACAATCAGTTACCAAATCTTACTTACATCTTGCTCACTCCTACCTTTCTGTTCCCTCTCCTACATCCAAACAAACACCATGCCCTATTTATTCCAAATCATTGTGACTGCTCTTCACTACGGCCTTACCTTAACTCACAGCTTTCTCACTGCTCAATTCTGTAGTATCGATTTAGTTTCATTTCCACCTATGTGTGCATTCTTCAGACAAAACTGGTCTTTCTAAAACACAAAGCCATCTTATTGTGTCACATTCTTGCTAAAAATTCTTTAATCCTGCTTTTGTGCAGGACAAGGCTCTTGCTCATTATTATGACCTGTATAACTAAGGAGCTGGCTTCTACCCAATGCTCCTCTGACACCACCTACACCCGTGTCATAATGTCCCCTTGCCCTGTAAGAGTTCCTCGTCTCAAGGCCCTTTTCCCATTCCTCTCCATCATGGCTACAACTCATGTCACAGCAGCATTCGGTCCAGATATCTTCCCTATCAGATCTTTCATGACTCCCCCTTAAGCATCACCCTCCCTTTCCTTAAACGTTCTGTGCACTTTATGTTGTTCTTTTGTCTTTTTGAAACAGGGGTGCCCTATAGCCCCATCTGACCTGGAACTTGCTATGGAGACCAGGCTGGCCTCAATCTCACAGAGATCCTCCTGCCTCTGCCTCCCAAGTGCTGAGATGAAAGGCATGTGCCAATATGCCCAGCAAGACTTTTTTAGCATTTACAGAACTACATGTTGACAGAGAAATGCTTACAGAGAGCATTTGAGCACACACCTACATTAAATTGATCTCATTAACAATGAAATACACAGAATGTGTTTAAAAGAGGATGTGAAGGCTAAGATTGTTAAAGTGGGTACCAGCAAGATGGAATGGCATATTCAGATTTGCAGAATCGAACTGAATTGAAGTGAAGTGAAGTGGAATGAACTGAATCTGTGATGTTGGGGACTGAACATGGTTCTGTGCATGTTAGGTGCTCTTCCACTGAGCTACACCCCCAGCCTGGATCTAAAATCTAAGAAATGACTGCTAGACTAGATGTAACCATAGGTCATGTCTTCTTAGACAATTAAACTATAGCATTTCTTATCATTTACATTTTTGCCCCCCAAAACAACCAGTCCATCAGTTTCTCATAACTTCCAACTTTTCTGTTTTTTACTCATTTTTATTTCATGTATATGAGTGTATTGCCTGCATATATGCAAGTGCACCCGAGTTGTGCAATGCCCACGGAGGCCAGAAGAGGGTGTTAGATTCCTCTGGAACTGGAGTTATGGATGGTTGTTAGCCACCTTGTGGGTGCTGGGAATCGAACCCGTTTCTCCTACAAGAACAGCCATTGTTCTTAACCGCTGAGCCATCTCTCCAGCCCCAATAACTTCCAACTTTTCATGCACACACAAAAAAATCTCCAGGCCTAATCCATTAAAAAAAGATAAATAGGACACTTTCCTAAAGAGTCAAAGACCCTTAGATGGGCTTATTGGACAGCTGCCTTCTAACGGGACACTGACAGAGATGACGTCTTTCTTTTCTTCCTAATTTTGGAGTAATTTTTCTTAGCACTGTGACATATTTTTGAGACAGATCTCACTGTGTAGCACAGGCTGACCTAAAAGTCATGCCAATTCTCCTACTTCATTCTCCCAAGTGCTGGATTTACAGGTGTGTGCCACAACACCCAAAGCACTGTACTTATTTTACTTATTTGTATTTTATGTATATGAGCATTTTGCCTGCCTGTATAAGCGCCCGTGCATGTAGTGCCCACAGAGGCCAGAAGAAGGTGTCGGATCCCTTGGAAATGAAGTTGTGGATAGTTGTTAGCTGCCAAGTGCGTTCTGGGAACTAAACCCGGGTTCTGTCTTAACCACTGAGCCATTTCTCCAGCCCAGTGCTATACTTCTTAACTCACTCAATGCTGGCCCATACTATAAACCCAGGGAACCTAAGGCTTTGGCGTTAAAACTAGGGCATGTATTCCTCTGGGGATATGGAGAGACTTTTCACAGTTCACATGGTCCCGGATAGCTTGCAGATGGCCAGTTACTACCTTCTCACCCCAGAGTGTACTGTCTCCTAGAACCAACTTAGAGCCCAAAGGTGTCCTTGCTTTGAAAGTTCTTCTTTCCCACCTCCCAGTGACCCTTCTGCCACTTCACCGAGGCTTCCTACCATTCCTAGTCTTGATCATAAAGCACACACTGGGATCTCGGCACCTCCAGAGTGCCAGGCAAGGGACAATGTGAAAGCATTGCCCCAAGAGCATCCTTCCATCTGAGCAAGAGGAAGACCCCTGTCAGAAATGCCCAGGGTTATGCTTGAGTTAGATCATAAAATAAGAACTTTTGTTGGATGTGGTGGTACGTGTTTACTTCTCTAATAAGGCACTTTTCTCACAATCTTATACTTCTCAGGTTTCTAACTAATGATATAAATGCCACGAGACCAAAACTGTCATTTCCTAGGACAAAAGTAAATACTGTGGAGGATCTTGTATCCATACCCCTCTGGAAATAGGACATTTAGTTTTTCATATCAAAATTATTAGACAATATGTATTTCAATAGATGTATATTTGATTTCTTAATGTATTTGAAATTGCCATTTGTCAAAATGCAAATGACTTCTTTCAAACATAATAAAAGCCTTTCTAGTTATAACACAAACAAAAAATAAGTTTATGAATTACTAGCCCAATCCGAAATAGCATATTTAATCAAACTGAAATTCAACGGTTTTTAGGTCAATTGGTTTCTTTATCCAATTCATTTTTTCAGTTCTATTGGCAAAGTCCTGGTACCTGCCCTCCAGTTCAGCTACTTCAATCGAAGAGATGGAAGAGGTAGCCATAGTTTTCCCATGATGCTATCTACTGAAGTGCTCTATAAATGACAAGGGTGCCTCCTGAAATGTTCCTGGAGAATTTTACTTAGATAATACTTGCTTAGGGGGTAGCTGGAGAGATGGCTCAGAGAACTTGCTGTTTTTGCATAGGACCTAAGTTCAGTTCCAGCACCCATATCCAGTGTCTCACAACAGCCTGTAACTTCCGTTCTAGGGGATCCAACAACTTCTTCTGGTCTCCACAGACACCTGCACACATGTGCAGGTGCACACACATAAATAGATGAATAGATAATTAAATCTTTTTGTTTCTCCTCATTGTATTAGTTCTTTGAGAATTTCATGCAGTATACTTTGCTCATATTCACCCCTGTCCTCCCAACTATCAGGTCCACTCCCTTCCCTACCCACCCATCTTCTATCCTCTTTTAATTAAACCCATCAAGTCCAATTTGTATCTTCCATGTGCTCTTGGGTGTGGAGTCATCCACTGGGGCATGGTCTACCTACCAGGGGCCACGACCTTAAAGGAAACTGACTCTTCCTCTCCCAGAAGCTATCAATTGCCAACATCTTCTCTACTAGAGGTGGTACATCATGTCCACCTCCCCTCTCCATGCTGGGAGTTTGTCTGACTTGAGCTTGTGCAGGTCTTGCATATGCTGTCATAATCACTATATGTTGATATGTACAAGTGCCCTGTTGTGTTTTGAAAACAGTTTCATTGTAGTCGTCTGCTGCCTCTAGCTCCTATAATATTTCTGCCCCCTTTCCTGATCACTGAGCATTGTGGAGAGGGATGTGAGATAGATGTCCCCTTTAGGGCTGAGCACTCTGCAGTCTCTTATTCTTAATACCATTCACAATAGTCTCAAAAAAATCTTATGGAAGAACTTGAGGGGGGAAATGGGGGCTACTTTAGCTGGGGAAGGAAGGAGGAAAGCTATATAAGGGGAGAGACAGGAGAGAAAAGTAATGCTTAGGTGGTGTGAAAAACCAGAGGGAAATGTATAAGTTCAAAAGCCTACTGAAAAAAAGTGTATGTGTGTGTTTGTGTGTAGCCAGGGTGGTCCAAGCAACTCTCAAAATTATATAGGCTATTGCAAAAGCCCTTGATTGCCTCCAAATGCTTGAAGGTAAGACCCTATTACTGAAGACAGTACATAACATACTTCAGACAGGACTTGGAGCAACTGAACTGGAATTGACCTGGAAGATTCCTCCCTCAAGACTAGCTCCTACAGTATCAGAAGATACTGTGCAACCTGCAAAGGGGGGGAAAAAAAACCAATCAATGATCCCATCCAACTGTAAATTCTATGAACCACAACAATGACTGGCCCAGCAAATAATCTCTACTGGTGCACTTTTATCTTGGGGGTAATCAACAGCTGTCTAATTGGAATTAAAGCCTGCTCAATGTGAGGGAACTCATGTATGGGTACTGTAAACACAGCCAAATACACAGGCTGGCGATGGCATAGATCCTAGAGAAAAACCTAATCTTGTCATATTCCTAGACCAATATAATTTCTTACTATAGTCTAAATACATCTACTTATATTTTCAGGCAAGTGAACCTCTTAACACTCACCAAAGCAGCTTATTTTTGCAACAGATGGAGACTATTACAAAGTTCCACAACTGATCAGACACAGAGAATAAGTGTCTGTGAGATACCCAGCCCTAACTGATACATCTACAATGCAACCTTTACACCTACGGCTCAGGGAACATGGCAGAACAGGGGAAGGAAAGAATATTAAAGCATTGCTCAACTTTCACCAGCTAAGCTTCCTCAAGCAACAGATGGTGATTAATGCAGAAAGCCACAACTGGCACAAAGTGCAAAGATTAAGAGACTGCAGTGTGTATCCCAGAATAGAACACCTATATAAAACCTCTGCCACTCAAGGCTCAGGGACCATAGTGGAAGAGGGGGTGGAAATATGTGAAAGCCAGAGGTAGTGGAAGACCACAAGGAAGCAGTTTTCCAGATAGCTAGGCACTTACTCATATGAACTCACAGCAATGGTGACAGCATGCACGCAAGCTCAAGACAGACAAAAATCCCAGCATAGAAGTGGGGAAGAAGAACCAACCTTAGCTGAGGAACTACTGGCAACTGATAACTGATGGAAAAGGAAGGGTTGACTTTCTTTAAGTGTGTGATGCTAAATAGGTTCACCAGACTTCAGTGGATGGACCCACACTGAACAACATTTGGGGCTATAATTAGACTGGAGAGAGCTGAACACACGCCTTTAATCCCAGCACTTAGGAGGAAGAGGCAGGTAAATATCATTACAAAAAGACCAGCCTGGTCTGCATAGAGAGTTCCAGGCCAGCTGGGGCTACAGGGAAACTCTGTCTCAAAAACAAAACAAATTTTGCTGGATAGGCCTTAATACATTTGACAGAGTTCATGAAATCTGGCAAGGGTACTATAAGAGGGGTTGCAGATAAGGGAGAGCGTTTAAATATGATCAAAATATAAAGTATAACATTTGTAAAAATCTTGGAATAAATGTAACAAAGGAAGTGAAAGGCTTCTATAATGAAAACTTTGATACTGAAAAAAGAAATTAAAGAAGATACTAGAAGATGGAAAGACCTCCCATGCTTATGGATTGGTATGAGAGGTATTGCAATAATGGCCATCCTATCAGGAACAATCTTATTAAAATTCTTATACAATTCTTCACAGAAATTGAACAAAATAACCTTAAATTTCACATCAAAACACAAAATACTCAGGATAACCAAAATAATCCTGAACAATAAAAAAAATCCTGCTGAAGGTATCACCACCCCAGATTTCACACTGTACTACAGAGCTATAGTTTAAAAAAAAAAAAAATGATAACAAAAACCCAGCATGGTACTTGCATAAGAACAGACCCATTGGTCAATGGAATAGAACTGAGGATGCACATATAACCCAATACTGCTCCAGCCACCTGATTTTTGACAAAGAGGCGAAAACAACAGAGCATCTTCAACAAATGGTGTTGGTCAAATTGGATAACTACATGTAGAAGAATGAAACTAGATCCTTATTTCTCACCCTGGTCAAAACCCCAAATGGATCAACGACCTCAACATAAAGCCTAATACCCCAAATCTGAACGAAGAGAAAGTAGAGAATATACTTCAACATATTGGCATAGGAAAGAACTTTCTGAACAGGACTCAGGTAGTGCAGGCATTAAGACCAACAACTGATAAATGGGACCACAGAAGCCTTTGAATAGCAAAGGACACTGTGATTTGAGTGAAGAGATGGCCTACAGAATTGGAAAAAAATCTTTACTAGTTATACACCTCACAGTGGGTTAGTATCTAGAATACACAAAGAACTCAAAAGGCTAAACATCGAAACAACAAGCAACCCAATTTAAAAAGTGGGGCATGGAACTAAACAGAGCATTCTCAAAAGATGAAATACAAATGGCTGAGAACTTTTTCTTAAATGTTCAACATTCGTAACAGCCAGGAAAATAAAAATTCAAACTACTTTGGGGTTTCATCTTATCTCTGTTACAATAGCTAAAATAAACACAATAAATGAAGACAAACGCTGGTGTGGGTGTGGAGAGAAAGGAACACTGTTGGTGGGAGTGCACCACTATGGGAGTGAGTGTGGCAACTCTTCAGAAAGCTCAAACTAGATCTACCACAAGATCTAGCTGTACCACTCTAGGGCAAACATCCAAAGAACTCTATATCCTACCAAAGAAATACCTGCTCATCCATGGTCATTGCTGCTCTATTCACAGCCAGGAAATGGAAACAGCCCAGATGTCCATCAACTGATGAATGGATAATGAAAAATGTGGTATATTTACACAAAGAATATTATTCAGCTGTTCAGAAAAATTGAAATTATGGAATTTTCATGTAAGTGGAGGGAGGTGGAAACAATCATTCTGAGTGAGATATTCCAGACCTGGAAAGACAAGTGTTGCATGTTTTCTCTCATTTGTGGATGTTGGCTTTGAATCTTTAGATATGTGTGTTTCATTTGGAATACCCATAGAGGACAGGAAATTAGTAAAGTCGGAGACTTTCAAGGGAGACAATAGAATGCAATGATATAAAGGGAGAAAGGAGAATGTGGAACAGGAAGGGTTAAATGGAGAGGTGGATGGGAGGGCAGCGTAGAGAAGGGAGTACAGGGAGGGATAATATTGACAAAATCCTCTGGAGCTGGAATTCAAAGAAAAGTTTACCTAAGACAGGGTTTGGAGGAGGCCCAAATAGGGCAGCATGATGGAAATGATATTCATTACTTGCGATTTTCCTTGTAGACAGTCACTATTTGTTAGTTAAGGTTGCTGTGACAAAACAGCACAGACTGGATTCTGGAAGCACACAATCAAGCTGGTTTCTCCATAAAAACATATGTGGACCTACTGGATCATTTGCATACCTTTGCAAGCTTATCGATGTCAACACATATTGCTGCGGCCTTTAGTCTGAGCTCCATGCACTGTCACCACAGTGTTTAACACACTCATGACTATGCTCATCCATTCGGTGCTGATTTAGACCTGTGAAAACTGCATATCTCCATATGAAAAAGAAGACAATATAACAATAATGTCAGTTTAACATTCCAGACAGAGGGTTAGTTTTGTCTCACAATACAAAACATACTTAAAACATTTGAATTTAATATGCCTTGAATATTTTAAACTACTTCTAGCTCCAGGCTGGTCTTTGGGGGAATTGTTTCTTAGAGATAGTCCCACCTTGGTGATTGCCCTGTCAGAATTATGGGCACTCTGTAGTTTTGGTCTTGGTAGTTTTTCTAATAATTCTGTTAAAAGTGCTACGAAAGACTGAAAAATTGAGGATGTAACGTATATTACATAACACCGTGAACCAGTGAGACTTACGTAACACATTATTGGCATTTGAGTATGGTACATGATATCCTCTTTACAGAAAAACTGCACACAACTTTAAAGCTGAACTGTCACTGGAATGACTATTTCAAATGAAACATGATACACGCTTTTCTAGATTTTCAATAGGTAAGAACTGTCTACAAATTGGGGCTGGAGGATGGCTCAGTAGATATGAGTGCATGCTGCACAAGAAATAAGACTTAAGTTCTATATCCAGCAACCACATTAAATCTAGGCACCTGTAATCCAAGCTGTGAGGATGTTGAAGAGATGAAGATGACTGGGACTTGGTGGCTGCCAGCCTAACCCCAGCTTTAGCAAGAGAACCTGTCTCAAAGGAATAAGGTGGAGAGTGACAGATAGAGAAGGACACTCTCTTCCATCTCTGGCCTCATCAGCATATTCTTTGGCTAGGGAAAATGCACACACACACGTCTGCACACCCCACGTACACATACTCAGACATTCACAAAAGAACTGTGTTCAGAGTGAACTGTCTGATGCTTGACAGAGACAATAAAATCTCAATTACAAAAGAACACAGAATGTTAATAGGTATAATTCTTGTAACAGCCTCAAATTACAAGCAATGCAAACTCCTGCCAACTGGTAAATGGATAATCACAATATGGTACAAGATAGAAAAAAATACTGATGGGTGCTAGAGTATGAAAGAACTTTAAAAAGTTATGCTGGGGAAGAAACCAGATGCAAAAGATATATATGCATATATATGCAAATTAAAAGAGATATAAAGGAGACACACATAATGAGGTGCTTCTGGCACTACTTGAGCTTGTTGCATTCTGGGACTTCACTGAGGCCTTGGTTCTGAACGCACTGCCTGAATGCAGTCTGCCCTGTGCATGCTCTCGTACCAGGAAACACCAACAAACACTGCCTGAAACCCTCATCTCAGACTCAAGACTAACGTATGTTATGAATTCAGTATTTTCACAGCACATAAAAAGGTTTCTGCTGTAACAGAAATATAATGGCTTCTTTCCAGAAACAAAGACTTAATATTTTCCTACAATCAGCCAGGCATGGTGGCGCACGCCTTTAATCTCAGCACTTGGGAGGCCGAGGCAGGTGGAATTCTGTGAGTTCAAGGCCAGCCCGGACTACATACTGAGTTCAAGGCCAGCTGGGGCTACAAGGAGACCCTGTTTCAAAAAGACAAAAACAAAGTTTCCTACAGTCATTCCTTAGCATAAATCAAAACTGTTTATCTTTGGGTTGCATTGTGTTAGGATGTTTCATTTTTAAAATTGCTGTGAGGGCTGCTGAATTTAGTTTCATAAAAAATGGTTAAATGAATTTGGCCTTGGTATTAGGAAAGAATTTCCAACAATTTTTGAAATGGCCTTAAACTCTGCTAAAGCTGAGTTCTCAGCACTGATGATTATAAAAAGTATTAACTCTGAAAGAAGTTGAAGATGTTTTACATCCTGCAGAATCAAATATCCAATCAAGATTTATTTATGCAAAAATAAAGTGCATCCATATGATTAGCATGCAGATCTCTTTAATAAAAGGTAAAGTTTTATGCATACCAAAAAGTGCTTTAAAATATTCATGGGAGCTGGAGAGATGGTTCAGCAGTTAAGAACGCCAGCTGCTCTTGCAGAAAATACAGATTCAGTTCCCAGCACCCACATGGCAGCAAACAATTCTCTAATTCCAGTTCCAGGAGATCTGATGCTCTCTTCTGGCCTTTGCAGGCATTACACACATGGGTACACTTACAAACAGGCAAAACACAGGCAAATACATAAGATAAAAATAAAATAATTTTAAGATTCATAGATTCAATGCAATCCCAATCAAAATCCCCTTGATATACTACACAGAGTTAGAAAAAAACCTTCCTAAAATGCATATGCAATCACAAAGACCCCAGATAGGCCAAAGCAATCCTGAGCACAAAGAGCAATGCTAGGGGGATTACCATACCAGATTTCAAAACTATATGCCAGAGCTATAGTCAACTCCAAATGGACTCCAAAAGATCTCAATGTGAAATTCTGAAACTGTTAGAAGAAAACATAGGCAGTAACCTACAAAATATAGGTGTAGAAAAGGACTTTCTAAATGGGACACCAGTTCAGGAATGAAGGTCAACAATCGACAAGTGGGACCTAATTAAACTAAAAGGCTTCTGTACAGCAAAGGAAACAATCAATTGAGTGAAGAGGAAGCCCATGAGAGAAAATCTTCACCTGCTACACATCTGACAGAGGATTAATGTCCAGAATACATAAAGAATTTTTTTAACATAAAGAAACAAGGAAACAAATGACCCAATTAAAAGATGGGCTATGGATTCTTCTCAAAAGAAGAAATAAAAAAGGCTAAGAAACATCTTAAAAGTGTTTAGCACTGGGCGTGGTGGTGCACACCTGTAGTCCCAGCACTTGGGAGGCAGAGGCAGAGGCAGGCAGATCTCTGTGAGCTCAAGGCCAGCCTGGTCTACATAGTGAGTTCCAGGACAACTGGGGCTACAGGGAGACCCTGCTTCAAAAAGACAAAAAACAAGTGTTTAGCATCTTTAGTAATTAAGAGAAATGCAAATCAAAACCACTTTAAGATTTCATCTTACTCCAGTCACAACAGCTAAGATCAAGAGAACAAATGACAACAAATGCTGGTGAGGAAGTGGAAAGGGGGGACTCCTCATTCACTGCTGGTGGGAATGCAAGCTGGTGCAGGCACCACGGAAAGCAGTGTGGCACACTCTTCAAAACCTAAAAATAAATCTACTGTATGACCTGGTTAAACCACTCCTAGGCATATATCCAAAGGACTCATCCTACTGCAAGATACTTGTCTAGCCATGTTTGTTGCTGCTCTTTTCACAATAGCTAAGAAATGGAAACAACCTACATGCCCCTCAGCTGATGAATGGATAATGAAAATGTGGTACATTTACACAACAGAGTTCTACTCAACTGTAAAGAAAAATAAAATTTGCAGGTA